GTAAAAACAGTTAATAGCACCATATTCTCTTAGTCTATGTCTATATACTTACATATGCCCATATAAAAGTTATATAGTAATTTTATGTTTTCCCTGAATACATATCTCATTACTGCTGTTTCAGTGTCTCCCTGTCAGGTCTCCCTATACAGTACCAGGACCAGAGCTGTTTAAAACCCATCCTCTTGGGAGATACTGTCTAGAATATGGAAGCTGAAAATCAGATGTAATGCTCCTCAGTTCCACTCAATGTAGGGACAAATAAATGTTTTATCCATATAATGCTCAACATGAATGTCTAGCCTATCTCCTTTGTTAATAAATCAGAGGACTCATAGTAAATATATCAAATGCACCTAAAATAACGGGACAACTTTAGCTAAATTGTGATACAAAATATTATCTAGCCTTGCCACTAGGTTCTGGGACAAAACATGGGGTAGCATACCACAATTACTGAAATGATACAGCATTATGACAAGCAAAAGGCTACTGTAAGCATTCATCTTCTCTGGCCAAAAGATGGTGCCATGACAACACAGTTCATCACTGCCACAACTGGCACTCACTATTTACACATACAAAATGTATGATTTGTTTATTTGGATCACCATTAGCTTTTGCAGAGGCAGCAGCTATTCTTCCAGGGGTCCACAAAAAAACATAAAACATGACAAGTAACAAAACACTGATAGACAAGGACAGTCACACAAATGTGGGGGGATTTTAGTCTCTTTGAATACTGGACACCAAACATTGTAGAGATTGGAGAGAAACATCATATAACTCTGAATCCAGTCAATGCAGTTGTTTTGCTATTGTGTTAGTTGTTTTACCATTGTGTTAGTCAGTTGTTTTACCATTGTGTTAGTCAGTTGTTTTACCATTGTGTTAGTCAGTTGTTTTACCATTGTGTTAGTCAGTTGGTTTGCTATTGTGACATACTGTAGTTTTTGAAAATGCCTGTCATCTGTCTTTCTCTACACTCCCATCTCTTTCAGATATACACAGCATTAGATTGACCTCCTCCCCTGCTCAACTCGAAGCTCCTGGAGAGTCAGTGAAACTATCTTGCCAAGTCTCTGGCTATGCCCTGACAGACTATGGTACAGCTTGGATACGACAGCAGCCAGGGAAAACACTGGAGTGGATTGTGGAATTGATTCAGTGGTGGTTTCAGAAGTATGCTTCTTTATTATACTATGATAACATAATAACAGGTTTTACCAATATTACTCTACTGTCATTAAGAATAATTTGTACAGTAATTCTCAAACTGTCCTTACAACTCTTCCTCAGGTTTGTGTTGTAATGGAAATGTATTCTCCATCACTGTACATGATAAAATAGATACACAGAAACACAAACAGCAGGATTTCTTCTTCATAACTGTAGCGGGTGATTAGGACAGAGTCAGGCGCAGGAGGTGTGAATCACAGAATGTGGTTTATTCGTCCAATACAGTAGTTCGCAGCAATGCGTAAACCAAAATACAGTGCGACTTATACGCGCACTGGGAAAACAAAACACACGTGTGAATATCCCGGCGACAAAAGTAAAATGATGCTCAACCGAGCTAGCGACACCTCCACATGGAAACAATAACACACAAAGACATGGGGAGCAGAGGGAATACTTATACAGGGACTGATGAGGGGATATGAACCAGGTGTGTGTGAAAAACAAGAGAAAACAAATGGAATGATGAAAAGAGGAGCGGCAGTGGCTAGAAGGCTGGTGACGACGAACGCCGAAGTTTGCAAGAACAAGGAGAGGAGGCAGCTTGTGACAGTGCCCCCCCCCCCAGTCTGCTTAAAAAAGCGATTGCTATCCATTCACACTGGACGCAGGGCCAGCCACTTCTTTTGCTCTCTGCAGATTACAATTCAATAGGAGGGGGAGTGGCTACACTTGTGCTAGGCAATTAGCTTAGTGTTATTAGCAAAACCTCTTTGTTCAGCGGCAGCTGTCTGCAGCAGCTGTCCCCAAAACGAAGACTGTCCCTGAAACAAAGACAGTTCTGCCAAGTTGTTCTGCAGGAGATAGTCGAGGGAGGCCCCGCTCTCTCGCTTCCCCAGATGTTTAGTTAATTTCATTCCGATCTCTTTTGCATTATTGTAGCCTTTTCTGTAGCCTGTCAACTATGTGTCTGTCTATCCCTGTTCTCTCCTCTCTGCAGAGGCCATACAAACGCTTCACACCACGTGGCTGCTACCACTCTAATCTGGTGGTCCCTGTGCGCACGACCCACGTGGAGTTCCAGGTCTCCGGCAGCCTCTGGAACTGCCGTTCTGCGGCCAACAAGGCAGAGTTCATCTCAGCCTATGCTACCCTCCAGTCTCTCGACTTCTTGGCGCTGACGGAAACATGGATTACCACAGAAAACACTGCTACTCCTACTACTCTTTCCTCGTCTCGCATACCCCGAGAGCATCTGGTCAGCGCGGCGGTTGCACAGGAATCCTCATCTCTCCCAAGTGGACATTCTCTCTTTTACCCCTGACCCATCTGTTTTCTCCTCATTTTAATTCCATGCTGTCACAGTCACTAGCCCATTCAAGCTTAACATCCTTGTCATTTATCGCCCTCCAGGTTCCCTTGGAGAGTTCATCGATGAGCTTGACGCCTTGATAAGTTCCTTTCCTGAGGATGGCTCACCCCTCACAGTCCTGGGTGACTTTAACCTGCCGACGTCTACCTTCGACTCATTTCTCTCTGCCTCCTTCTTTCCACTCCTTTCGTCTTTTAACCTCACCCTCTCACCGTCCCCCCCTACACACAAGGCAGGCAATACGCTTGACCTCATCTTTACTAGATGCTGTTCTTCTACTAATCTCACTGCAACTCCCCTCCAAGTCTCCGACCACTACTTTGTATCCTTTTCTCTCCCGCTCTCCTCCAACACTACTCACTCTGCCCCTACTCAGATGGTAATGCGCCGTCGCAACCTTCACTCTCTCTCTCCAGCTACTCTCTCCTCTTCCATCCTATCATCTCTTCCCTCTGCTAAATCCTTCTCCCTCCGGTCTCCTGATTCTGCCTCCTCGACCCTCCTCTCCTCCCTGTCTGCATCTTTTGACTGTCTATGTCCCCTATCCTCCCGGCCGTCTCGGTCCTCCCCTCCTGCTCCGTGGCTTGACGACTCATTGCGAGCTCACAGAACAGGGCTCCGGGCAGCCAAGCGGAAATGGAGGAAAACTAGA